ATGTGCCCTGACTGGGGATCGAACCGCCATGTGGCCTTTTGAGTCCGGCTTCTCTCACTGAGCATCGTGTGTTCAGGATTCGCTACGATGTAGCGAGTGGTGGTGCTTCCCTCCTTTTCGTGGCTGAGTAATATTTCAGGGTCTGGATGGACCACACTGTGTTTATCCACCCATTACAGATGGACATTTGAGTCGTTTTATATATTAATTCATACAGTCACTTCCAAGGTGGTTGGGACTTGTCCCTTGTCCTCTGCTGGATGCAGAGAACCCAGATTGTGTTTTAGATAAATGTGACAGAGTTTCTTTTAAAAAAAAAGGAGGTGGTCATAAGACAGGGGGTCACATTCCATGGGGGTGGCCAGAATGTGACAAGGGGAGAGGGGCCCTTAGGTGAAGGCCTTCGCCAAAAATGGAAGACCTCATTGACTTGCTGGTCCAGTGAACCTGTGTTGAGTACTTGCTGTGTCCTGGGTGCGGGGCACATGGCAGGGACAAAAAGAGACAGTTACTGTCCTCGTGGGGAAGTGAGAAACAAAATAAGTAAAGGTCCCACGTGTTGCATGAGGGTGAGAGCTGACCTGGGGTCCTGGGGGCAGAAACTCAGATCAGAAGGCCTTAATGAGGAGGTGATGTCTGAGGAGAGGCCTGCAGAAATTAGTGAGGCCTGTGGGTGCAAGGAGAACGTGCACCAAGCAGAGGACACAGCCAGTGCAAAGGCTGTGGGGTGGGAATGTACTTGGAATGTCTGAGTGTGGCTGCAGCAGAGGGAGGGGTGGCCAGGGACCATGGGTCTTTGGGTCTGGTCTCTGCAGCTGGATTAGCCTTGAGACATGTCCCCTGGGGAAGGCCTCTACCTGCAATGCCTCCATTCACGCTCCACTGCCCTTCCTGTCCAGAGCCCAGGGCAGGGTCCAGTCCTCCCCCTTGCTGCCCCAGGTTAATAGGCAACAGGTTTGCTCCTCTGGGTCTGTGTCCTGCTCTGACCTTGGTCTCCACCATGTGGGGGGCTGCCTCTCTGTCTTGAATCTCCTAGGAAGCTCATGCCTCATGGACTGTTCACCTCACTAATGACAGTAGTGTTCCTGTGAGTCACCTGATGAAGGGATGAGATCCAGGAAGGCTTCCTGGAAGAGGGGACTGCACTTGAGCTGAGCTGGGAGGTGCAGGAGGGAAAGCAGAAGGCAGGGGGAGCTGATGAAAGTTGATGGATAAACTGTGGAGGGCTTGAATGGAGGGCTGAGAGGCTGAGGTTTTCTCAGGGGGGTTGAGAATTTAGAGCCGAGAAGGTGCGGGGGAGACAAAGGCCTCATGGGGGAGCAGGGGAGACAGCAGGTGGAATGAGGACTCCCCCACTCCGCATCTCCCGCCCTGGTCCAATGGGGGAAGGGGCCCATTGGGCCACTGGGCTCCCTCACCCCCACATCCCAGCCCCGTGACTCTGCTGCCACCCTCCCCCATGGCCAAGGTCTTTGTCAGCTGTTTCCTTTCAATTAACACAGGAATGTTCCAGCTCTGGGCTCTGGGCTCTGAGCCTGCCTGGGCCTGGACCCCCTCATTCTGGCTGGAGCTGCCCAGGCACAGGCTCTGGAAGAACTAGTGCGATCCCCTCCACCCACCTCCCGTCCCCCCCCCCCCCACCCCGTCCTGCCCGCTGGGTGACCTTGGGCTGGTTGCGTAACCTCTCTGGGTCTTTAAAAAATAAACGCCCAAAAAGCTGGGGCCTGTACTAGGGCTCAGGGCTCCTTGGGTTTGGGCCTCATTAGCTCATCTCCTGGGGCCGGGATTATCTCATGCGCTTGCAGCCGACACCCTTGCCTTGTCCTGAGCCGCCCACATTGCTGCTTCTGCCCAGAATTTGCTCCAAGTGCCATAAAAATAATCACACAAGCACTGGAGTCTGCATGCGCTGAGGGTGGGCGTCCAGGCGAAGGGTGAATCCCTTCGCCAGGAGCTCAGAGTGCGCCGTGGCCCGTTGCGCAGGGGAGACTCAGAGATGCCAGTGACTCACTGGGGTCCCAGCCCGTGGGGGCAGCTGCCACGCAGCCCTGAATCCTCCTGCGCTTCTCCACCCAGCATGTAAGATCTTTTGTGATCTGGCCTCTGCCTCCCTCACTGAGCCCTAGTGAGCATTTCAACCATGCCACTGACTGCCTCCCCACCCCCACCCATGCCAGTCCCTGCCAGACCTCAGGGAGACCCTGTGCTCCTCAGGCCCCTGAGCCTGCGCATAGCAACCGAGGTCCCGTCGCCACCATTGAGCAGCTTCACTTGATCCACAGATAAAACGAGTATAACCATCCTCCCATCCTCCCGGGACGATCAGTAGGAGGGACACTTAGCATATGTCATTTAAAGACCCCCCTCCTCCCCAGCTTTAACTCTCCCTCCTGTTAGATGGGGCTAAGGCAAGCCTGGAAGGCAAGGAGCTCCTGGGAAGGAGTTCTTATTTGTTGCTGTCTCATGAGGGTTCTATGGTCCTAACTTGTTTTATTTTTCACATTTATGATGCTGAACATTATCTTGGCTTGACCTTGGCTACCTCTGGGCCAGGGATGTGTCCAGAACTTTCCCTGGTAGAAGCCCCTTTTCTGGGCGGAGCCTCTGGACCCAAGATGGGACTGTCCCTCCAGCCCCGGGGGTGGGAAGAGACAGTTAACTCTTCCTCCTACTCTCTCTCTCAGAAGCCCCCAAAGCCCAGGGCCTGAAGCCTCTACACCCCCAGCACAGGGCTGGGGGCGGGAGATGCTTGGCGGGCCCCACGTGGGCCTCCCAGTTGCCTTGGGGACGGTGCGGTTGCCAGGGTGACCGCCTCCCGAGGGCCGCCATCCATCATCCGGAGGGAGGCAGCGGCGCCCTGGCGGGCAGGGCGGCTCTGGCACCCCCAGGCCCTGGTGTTGGGGGGGACTATGGGGGGGGTACACAGCCTGAGCCCCTTGGACTGTGACAGGGACAAGACTGGGCAGGGATGAAAATTCTCTTCCTGGGCCCTCCTGACCTTCCCCTGCCCTGGCCTGACCAGCAGACAGGCCACCGGAGGGGAGACACTGCCCTCCTTGTCTGCAGCCTAGGGGGCGGGCCTCACGGCTGGTCCTGTGTCCCTGTGTCCAGCCTGAATGGCCACCTGCCTGGCCTGGTGGAAGTGTGGCATTAGGTGGCCAGTCCTTCTGCCCAGCATGGCCCTGTGTGCACTGGGGTCTGAGCTGCTGTGTGCCCTCCCCACAACTCTGCCTCCTTCCTGGAGAGACCCCGTAGGCCTGGTTAGAGTTGGGAAAACGGATGACCTGGTATGGCCCAGAGCTGGGCAGTTGTGGTTTGAATCCGAGCTCTGCCTCTTTCTAGCTGTGTGACTTTGGGCAAGGAACTTGCCCTCTCTGGGCTTGGTTTCCAGCCATGGGAAGAACACAGCAAGTGCAAAGGCCTTGAGGTAGAAATGACCTTGGTGCGGCATGGGCATAGCCAGGAGGTCCTGCTGGCTGGAACGGTGAGAAAGAAGAGCAGAGGGGATGTGGGCAGAGAAGTGGGAGGGGCTGGGCTATGCCGGAATCATGATTTCTTTCAAGGGGTGGTGGGAGCCTGGGGGACTTTAGAGCAGGGTGGCAGGGTCTGATTCTTCTTTTGAGATGTTGCCTGTGGTCGTGGGGTGGAGAGAGGGCTGTCAGAGACCAGGGAGATGGCAGGTGGTGGTAGAATCCTGGCTGGGGTGGGAAATGTGGGGTTTGTGGGAAGTGAGGGGATGGGCCTACATGGGAACACAGGGTGGTGCCTGCCTGCATCACACAGGGCAATGGGGCAGAGCCAGAAACATAGCTGATCTGGCCCTTCAGGAAGGGCCTGTGAACTGAATAGGTGGATCAAGCCTTTCCTGAACTCCATCCAGCCGAACACAGCCTCCCTGTGGAAGAAGAGAGGGAAGCCACAGAGGGTGCGGCTGGTGCTGCTGGGCCTCTAGGAGTCACAGAGTGGGGGCAAATGCTGCCTGCCAGGAAGGGAAGAGCTGAGTGGGGTCACCTGGCTGGGGCGTGGGAGCCAGATGACTTCAGAGGTCTCAGTGAGGCCAGGAAACTGAAGCTGAATGCAGCAGGCAGACAGGGCCCTGTGGCCCAGGATAGATCACCCAAGGGCACCTGGGTGCGGGGGTGGGGGGGGCGGCTTGGGCCCAGGCGAACCCAGCACACTGTGATTTGAGCCGCTGTTTTTCTACTGAACTGCAGGGGGAAGCTTTAGAGCTGGGTGTCTGCTCCTACTGCGCAGGTTGGGAAACAGAAGCCCAGAGGGGCAGAGGGTCTTCAGAGGCCACAGGGTGGCTCTGGACCCTGGTGCAGGCAAGGGGTGTGGGGGTGGCAGCAGAACCAAAGACTGGTCTGTAATTTCAAGTCCCTGTGAAGACACAGGGCTTTGGGCAGGAGACAGGGGCGGCTGGGCGTGGTCTGGCTCCGGCTGCTCAGACCTCACCACCTTGGCCAACCAACCTGCCCTGTCCCCCAGGGCCTGCTGTCCATGCCTCCTGGGGGGCGGGCCCTTGGGTCATTCTGGGTTTGTAGCAGAGCTCAAGACCCCCTCCCTCCCACCCCTGGCCCAGGGCTGGAGAACACTCCATGGGCGGGAGGGTGAGGATGGGGGCTGTCCTGATCGGCCTCCCTGTCTGGGTGGGGAGGTGATACAGTGTGCCCTGGTACGCCCTTCACCCTTCGATTCCTGGCGAACCCCTTCACGGCCCAGCCTCAGTGCCCTCTCCTCCCCAGACCCTTCCTGGGCCTTTGGGCAGAGAGCCTCGCCCCGCCGATCTCTCAGTTCTTCCCTGAGGGGGTTGGCTGGAGAATTTGTTGGGAGAGTTAATGAGGTAATAAGGCTGGCTGGAGAGGATGGTGCTACCTCGGGGGGGGGGGGGGCTCTCGCCGTGATCACCCAGCTGGGAGACACAGGGCAGGGATTTGAATCAGGTCTGCTGGAAGCAGGGGTGCGGTGGACCCCTGGCCTCACCTTGTCTGTTTCCCCAGGGTCCTGGCTGGGGACACCACATTCCAGCAGGAGCGGCTGCAGGCCATTGCAGTGAGTTCTTTCTGTCCTTGGACAGTATGGCCAGTGGGGGGACTTGGGGTCTCAGAGGCTCCCTACACTCAGCCCGGGCTCCTATGACTCGGTCACGCCTGCTGGCGCTTCCCCACTAATGATAACGGAGATCTCCTTGGCCCTTAGAATGTGGAATCTTCGACCACTAGCCCTCTCAGGCCCCCTTGCAGGCGGGGAGCTGAGGTGTGATAGAGCCCTGCCCTTATGCCAAGGCTGGGAGATGGGCTGGAGGGGGGCAGGCGGGGCCCAATGGGCCGAGTGGGTGCCATTTACAGAACATGCAGAACCTGTGTGGGCGGGCCCTTGGGTGGATTGGTGGGGTCTTCGTGGCCCCCCTGCCTGGTCCTGACTCCGTTCCGTTTGTCCATCCATCAGGAGAAACGGAAGAAGCAGGCCGAGATCGAGAACAAGCGGCGGCAACTGGAAGATGACCGGCGGCAGCTGCAGCACCTGAAGGTACCGGGCCGCGGGCCGCCCTGCACCCCAGGCTCCGGCCTCGGCTGGAGGGCGAGGAGGGGCAGCAGTGCCCAGGGACCCTGAGCCTCGGCCAGATATGGGATTGGGGGAGTGGGAAGGCTGAGGGGGCCCTGACTCAGACTCTGACCCTGATTTTGACCCCAACCCCGCCACCCCCAGTCCAAGGCATTGCGGGAACGCTGGCTGCTGGAGGGGACTCCTTCCTCAGCCTCCGAGGGGGACAAGGACATGAGAAGACAGATGGAGGAGGACGAGCAGAAGGCCCGGCTCCTGGAGGAGTCCATCTCCAGGTGGGTGGGGGGCCCTGGAGCCCTGCATGAAGTCTGGGTGTGGGAGCCCTAAGCAGTGGGCTGTGAGGATCCGCCCTGGGGCCGGGGTGGGGCCTGGCTGCCTTGCTCCATGCGTGGTGGGAGCAGGGAGACCCCCACAGATGGAATGGGGGTGCACAGGCTTCGATGCCAGACCTGTGTGCTGTAATGGGGACGTTTAACAGGGCTCTCAGGGCATCGGGCCGCCCTGCTCAATCCCTCCCTTCTCCTGACACCCCAGCACAGCAGGTGCATGAGGTACGTGGAGTTAGGGCGGATCCCCGAGTCCCTGAGGATGGGAGTTGCCAGCAGTGGCCTCCCCGGGGGCTTCCTGGCGCCAGCCCAGCTGACGAGCTGTTCCCGGCTCGGTTCTAATGGAGTCCACAGAGGCCCTGGCAGCTGGGCCTGCAGGAAGGCTGGGAGGGGCAGGCTGGGGAAAGTGACCATCCCCCCTGGGCTGGGACAAAAGGCTCAGAGTTTCCGGGCAGGCAGGAGGCCCAGGCTCAGCTCCAGGGCAGCAGGGTCAGGGTGGAGGGAAGTGACAGCCAAAATTCCAAATGTCCACTTGGCCAAGGAAAGGCCTGACAGGCCTGAGCCTGCCCAGGTCCCCATAGCCCACTGGGCCATCGCCCTGGAGGATGCTGAGGCTGGCTCTGCGGTGGAGCCCTGGGCTTCTGTCCTGGTGTGTTTGGTTTGGAAGAAAGGGGGCCGAGATTACCCTCCCCAGGCTGGTTTTCCACCTGTGAACAGGGAGGCAGAAGTTCTCCTGTGCATCTTAATTCCAACAAACGTTAAGCTGGGGGCTGAGACAGGTCTGTGTGGAGACAGTGGGGACTGCCAGGCAGAGTGTCCCATGCTGGGTGGGTTGGAAAGTTAGTGGAAATTACCAGCCACTGGACTTGCTGGCTGGACAAAGTGAGCTCCTTTACTTCCGACACTGCTGGGTGTGGTCCTGCGGCGGGGGGGGGGCGCGTGGTGGTAGGGCATGCCTGAGCCCTCCAATGACGGTGGCACGTGTTGAGCGCTATGGGGGCCTTGGCTTTCCCCTTCCCAAGGTAACTCACTTTTCAGTGGCTCTGCCTCCCTGCATTTTGCCCATTCAGTGCTCCCTGCCCAGACACCTCTTCCAGGAAGCCCTCCAGGCTGACCTGAGCTGTGTTCATCCTGCTGACCTGGGCTCACTTTGTTGGGAGGCTGCAGATGCACCTCCTGTTTGTCCTTCTCATGGGCGATGGCTGGGCAGGATTTAATATGCCAGCTTTGTTTTCACGGGGTTTATGTGTAGCTATCTTCCGACACTTGGAAAGTGACATACTTTTTTCCAGTTTTTCTGAGGAGATAAAGCTTCCTGTAAAGATAAATGTATTTGAGTGGAAAAAAGGAGAGTGAGTTGGAAGCAAATGAGGTTGGCAATGGCACAGGTGACGAAGGGACAGAGCAGCCTGGGTGCAGGTCCCAGCTCTGCTACTTGCTGGCTGCGTGCATGCTTCACTCTGCCTCAGTTTCCCCAGCCAGGAAGGGCAGCGACAAGAATACCTCGCAGAGTGTTAGGAAACGTCAAAACCAAGGGGCGCCCCACCACGGAGTGCCCAGAATGGTGCTGGGCATGCGGCCGTGCCTCGTGAGGGCTGCCACTTCTCGCCCTCTCCCCAGGCTGGAGAAGGAGATCGAGGTGCTGGATAATGCAGATGCACTCCCAGCCACCGCCAGGGAGAACAGGGCAGCGCCGCGTCTGGCCCACAGCCCGGCCCTCAGCCCGGCCAAGGAGACCCAGAAGGCAGAGGTGGTGCAGAATTCTCAGCAGGTGAGGAGGTTCCCAGGGCACTGGGGTGCAACCTCACCCCTGCTGTGGCCAGAGTTTAGGGTTTGCGTTGGAGTCTCAGCCTGCCACTTCCCAGTCATGTGACCCAGAGCCTGTGGCTTTGTCTCACTGGGCCTTGGTCTCCCTGCCTGTAAGAGGCTCCATGCACTAGGGGTGTCTGGAGGGTTAGGTGAATCCATGGACGGCACACACTTCATACAGGGCCTGACACTTAGGGAGCTTTCCACGAATGCCACTGATTGTCATCCTTGTCCTTACTTTTATCAGGCACCTGCGAGTACTTGGCCTGCCTGTGCCAAGCATGTTCTAGGTGCCATTTGCCTAAGCCCTGTGACAGCCCTTTTAGGTAGGAACAGTGTCCCCATTTGATGGAAGACAAAAACTGAGGTCCAGGGAGGTACAGAGAGGGGTTCAAGGCCGCACAGTGAGGCATATTCTTTACTGGACTTAGGTGTTGATTCCAGGGCCTGACGTCTGGGTCAGCTTCTGTTGAAACCAGACCCAGAAGTGGTGGGCCCCAGGCCTGTGGTCACCACAGTACATTGATGCAGATTCGGGAGTCTCCCAACCACGTTTGTTGTGTTCAGGACTCGAGGGGCCTGTGGCGCATGCCCCCTCTTCCCTACTAGTCCTTGTTACCCCCACCTCAGGTGCCCAAGGAGGCACCTGATTTGTGAGAGAGCTGGGCAGGCTTCCCAGAGGAAATGGGTTTTGAAGGTTGAATAGGAGTTCTCCCAGTGCAGACTCAAAATGAAAGGGGGCTTTCACTGAGACTGATTAGGCATAAACTGGGTTGGCGTGGTCCCTGCCCTCATGACGTCCATGTCCCGGAGGGGTGGGGGCAGAGGCACTGGCTGGGCAGAGAATATACAGGGTCAGGCAAAAATAGGTTTACAGTTGTGAGTACATGAAATGCAGAGTTTATTCTTGTATTATTATTTATTTATTATTGTGTTATTTTCCATGTGAATAGCTGTAAACCTACTTTGCCCCACCCTGTAGTAAACCTGAGAGACTGCCATGAGATGGGGGGGGGGCTGCCCTTGGATTGGGTGGTCAGGGATCTGAGAGAGGAACCAGCCGAGTGAAATCCAGGGAATAGACTCCCCAATGGAGGGGACACAAGGAGGCCCTAGAGCAGGAGTATGTATGTTGGAGGAACAATGAGGAGGCCAGGGAAGCCAGCCAGAGCGATGGGGAGGAAGGAGAGGCCAGTGGGCAGGGGTCTGCTGAGTCCTAAACACAGAGTTCGGGGCATCCTCCAAAAGGATTCTGGGGCACGAGGGAGTCACCGATGCTTCTGAACAGGGCAGGGACATCAGGCTGTCACAGGCTAGGGCAGAGGCGGGGGATGGGTCCAGAAGAAGATGGCACCTAAGATGGGGTCCCCGCTGAGCCAGACTCACCCCAGGCTCCTACCCCAACTGGTGGTGCCTAGTTAGAGGGAGCGGGGCGCCAGCACCACTGACTCCCCTCGTTCTTTCTTGCAGACCCCGGTGGGCACGCCCAAAGGTACACCCAAAGGTAAGCTTCTGGAAGGGACTTGCGGGGCCTCCGCGCCCTCTGGTGTCCAGAGTGGGGATAGCGGATGGGGGGCGTGTCTTCTTGCTAATAAGTAACAATAATGGTAACAAAATTCGTTATTATTACTATGCTCAAGGATCCGACATGGACCCTGCCCTCCTGCCCTCATCATTACTGCACTTAGTTTTCACAACGCCCTTGGGGTGCGGTTGCTGCGGCGGCGGCGCCCTCCGCACTTCCCAGGTTTACAGTTAAGCTGAGGTTTACAGGAAGCTGAGGATTCGCTGGGGTGTGACTGGCAGAGGTTTCAGCCCCGGAGCTGAGGCTCTGGGTCCGCCCTGTCCTCCCGAGGGTGCTTGGCCTTGGCTGACCTCTCTGTCCACTTGCTCTGAGCTCCTGGGCAGGTGGAGGGGCTTCGTTTTCACATCTGTAAAGTGGAGTCTGTGGGGATGAGAACTCAGAGGGGCTCGTACAGAGAGCAAGGTCTTTGCTGTCCTAGGGACCAGGCGCCATTTAAAAGAAGGAGTGTCCAGGAAACAGGCAAAAAAAAAGCTCAAAGTTTGAACTCTGGGGCCCAATTTATGCACCCCCCTCAATTATTACAGGTATAATATACACATTAGCACACAGTTCATATGTGTGTGGGATATTTAAATATATGTGCTTAGGTATAAATATGTAATATATAATATTATATAAATATATAGTGTATTTCTTAACTGCATGAAGTATATTAAAGTTATTTAATATAAACTGTACTTTAAAAATACATATTAAACTTGTCTACTTCCCTCTGTAATGTGTGAAAGGACAGCCACCAACTGGAATCGTAGGTGGTGGCCAGAAGCATCTTGGCCTGATTTCTTTTGTGTTAATTATTCATAAGGAGAGTCTCTCCTTGTCTTACTGTGGAATTAAAAATTTATAACAAAAACAATCCACGCAGGCCTTTCAGGGATTTTGTGAAAATCACTGGGGCTGAGAAATAGGAAATGGCCGTGGGCTGGTGTGTATTTTGCGGGAGAAGGGATTGCGGGTGTGTCTGGGGGTTCTGGGTGTGTGGAGCGGCCCACGTGTGAGTGTCGGGGGGGTGGGATCTGGGCAAGTGGGCCACAAGGTGCCTGCATTTATGGGTGCTGTCCAAGGGCCTCAGTGGGTGTCCTGGTGTCTAAAGGGTCTGCATTATCGTCCCCCCTCTGACCCTCCTCTCTCTCTTCACTCTTTTCCCTCTGAGCAGAGAAGCAAGTCTGCAACACCCCCGTGAGGATGGTGGAAGGCTCCACCATGATGAAGGCAGGTAGGTCAGCAGGCTGGCCAGCCTCGGCCTACACGTCCAGCTGCTGTCCTGGGCCAAGTGTTGACCCTGGGGAGCCTGGAGGGACTGGGGCGATGTCATATGCAGACGCGCCCTTGGTAGAGGCGGTCGTTATGGGGGTGGTGGCTGGACCAAGGCTGTAGCTCCAAGCCTGGGGTGGGGCCGGGGCAATGCCTCTGCTTTGGCGCCTTTTGGCCACACGCCGGTCCAGCTTCCCCAAGAAGACGGGCCCCCTCGCATGGCTGCTCTAACCCGTCATTTTCTCACAGCTTCCATCCCCTTAACCACGCCACTCACTCCGGGAGCCGGGTGGGGTGGCGTACATGCTCAAACACCCCCCACACACTGTCAGTCCTCCTCCCCTACCCTCAGGCTGCCTCAGGAAAGAAAGTGAGTGCTCTGTCCCTGGAGGTGACCAAGCTGGGCCTCAGACATTCCTTCTCGGAAGCAAGGAGAGACAGGGTTAGTTCTAAGCATTCTGTGAGGTCAGGTCTACCAGGTACCGGCAGCTGAGCCTCCTCCACCTGAGACAGGGGTGGCATTGCAGTGACCCGACACCTAAGGCCTGTCACAGAACCAGCCCAGGAGCAACGATAAGTCTTCACGGGTGGCAGAACCATCTTGCTTGCCTGCTATTATTGGAACGAGTTGGGAGCTGAAGACCCTCTTAGGGGTGGGGTGGTCAGCACAAGACAACACTCAGGAAGGAAGGAGATGGCAGGGAGGTCCGGGGTCTCCTGCACCATTCAGGCAGGGGGCAGGGGGTAGGTAGGGAGGGTAGTTATTTCCCAGAGAAAGAGGGTGCCTTCAGGGTGTCTGTGTCAGTTAGTCCAGCCCAGGCCCACACGGAGCCCCGAGGCCCCCACGTGTCCTCTCAGTGGGCAATCTTGTGCAGCGGGCAACTTGCCCAACTACGTGTCTGCACATTGGGGGTGTTAGGCTGTGTAGGGACATGGGATTAAACAACGTCCATTCATCCTTTCAGTAAGCTTACTGAGCCCCTGTAGTGTGCCAGGCATGAGTGACAAAGACAGGGACCACAGGCAATAAAATTAACTTATGGAGAAAATAAGGCAGACCATGGAAGTTGGGGGGGTACAGTTTTAATCAGAGGGCTCAGGGGAGGCCAAAGTTAGGAGGTGACATTTGAGCAAGGATCCAAAAGAAGCCAGGGAACAAGGCATGCAGACATCTGGGGTAAATGCAGTCCAGGCGGAAGGCACCGCATGTGCACAGGCCTCAAGACTGGGTGGTGCCTGTTGTGTTGGAGGAACACTGGGGAGGCCCGTGTGGTTGGAGTGGAATAAGTGAGAGAGAGGGACTAACGGAGGGCAAGGAGGTGACAGCACTTCATGCAGGGTCCTGTGGGAACTGGAGCTAGGGAGGGCCCGGCAGAGCAGAGATTACCCACTCGGTGCTCACTGGCGCCCTCTGTTGTCTACAGGGAGAACAGACTGTGGGCTGCCGTGGTGGGGTGAGAAGTGTGCTGGGTTCAGGGTGTGCAGATGATGGAATCCACAGAATTTTCAGATGGAAAGAGTAGGGGTTGAGAGAGAGAGGAGGGAGCTGCCTTTACTGGGGCAGGAAGACCCAGGAGAATCAGGTGTCGAGGGCAGATTGGGGCTCTGGGACATAATGATTTGGGGGCACCCTTGGGACTCCAAATGGAGGATGGAGAAGGTATTGTGATACTGGGATTCGGGGTGAGGTCCTGGGAGGGTCAGTGCTAGGACTCAGTCTCCCCGTGTGGTTTTGTGGTAACGACTTCCACAGAACGTGGGTGAGATTCTGGGTATGGAATACAGGCCCTAAGGGATAACGACCTTCAAGAGGGAAGCAAGAGGGAATTAGCCATTTTTTTATAGGGAAGCAGATGAAGACAAGTTCCATAGGTGACTAAAGCCAGATATGAAAAACAGGTAATGCAGGGAGCCAGGACAGGTTGACCCAAGTTCTAGCTGTAGCTGTGACCATGGGGAAGGTGGCTCTCTCTGCCCAGTCTGTCCTCTGAGCAAATGGGATAGTGTAAGGATTTCCAGATGGGGTTGGGCAGCAAGGATGGGGCTCGTGTGGAGCAGAGGAATCCAGGCCTGTGGCCAGGGCACCAGGGAGCCATGGAAGGATGTTGAGCTGGGGAGGGCCATGCCTAGGTTATCCCCATTGCTTGGCTCTGCACTGCCGGCTTCCCTCCCTGGCTTGGCTGCAGCCCAGCGGGGGGCACCTGGGTGGGTGGCTGTGGCATAACCCATGCCTCTCGTATCAGCCATGTACTCGGTTGAGATCACGGTGGAGAAAGACAAGGTGACCGGGGAGACCCGGGTGCTGTCCAGCACCACCTTGCTCCCTCGGGAGCCGCTCCCTCAGGGCGTCAAGGTCTACGAGGACGAGACCAAAGGTACGACACCCCCATCCCCCACCCCAAACCCTCTCACTGCCTGAGCCAGAGCCTCACTCCCATCCAATTTGAGAGGGATGTCGTTCAGGGCCAGGGCCTCATCTGGCTCAGCTCACTGTTGCTTAGAGCCTGGACCCATGGCCGTCCTTCCTTCACTCCAGGCCCTTGCCTTGAAGGCTGGCTGAGCACCAGGTGACAGGCTGGCCTCTGGGAAGCAACCCCCCAGGAGGACTCCCTGGCCAGTGAGCCCAGCCCCACAATCCTGAGCTCATAATAAATCCTGATACTATTGTGATAGAGGCTACAAAAAGCCCCAGAGATATAGAGGGGACCCTGAGCTGGTCTAGCAGAATGGGGAGGAGGCCAAGGACGGTAAAGAGAAGCTCACTGGATACACAGCAGGGCAAGGGAGAACCATGCCCCTGTGCAAAGACCCTGAGGTGGGGTGGAGTTTGCTGGGCTGGAGGAACCAGGAGGAGCCTGTGGGCTGGTACAGAGTGGAGGGAGGAAATGGGAGAAGCCTTGGGAGGGGTGAGCAGGCAGTGAGATCTGATTTGATTTTTAGGGTTCCCCCTGCTGGTGGGGAAGGGGACAGGCTGTGGGAGACACCCACTGGGAACACAAAGCGGCAGGGGAGCTGGGGCAGAAGCCCCACGGTCCAGCAGTGTGTGTCTCAATGCAATTCACCTGCCATCAAATCGCCTCTTATTTAAATACAGAGAACATTCGCTTAAACTGTGCAGGCCGTCAGTTTTTACAGAGCAGTTTCATAAACATCTTGGCATTTAAACTTTTGTTTGCTTTTGGCAGACCTGTAGGGTGTGTGTGAAGGACCCTAAGGAGGGGGAATTCTAGGCTACATTTACTGTGATGCTAGTAAAATAAAACAAACAGACTTCAGTGAATAAAATACATTTTAAGAAGACATTAAAAAGGTACATTAAAAAAATCAAGGCAAACATTAGCTTCCTTTGTGGAATAGAGTTCACGGGGCCAACCCCCGAGCCCAGGACAAGGCGCGTGCCGCTCAGCCCCAGAGCCCGTTGGCATGGCCACACACCTGCCCTGTGAGAAGAGGGCGCCCAGGGAGTTTGGTGCACTGCTCGGTGTGGGTGTCTCCGCCACTCTGTACGCCCTCACTGTCTAATTCCGGGACATTTCTGTTCCCCAGATAGAAACCTGTCACCCCCCTCCCCCAGCCCCTGACAGCCACTAACCCACTTCCTGTCCCTGTGGACTTGCCTGTTCTGGACATTCCACGGAAATGGACTCACGCACTGTGTGGCCTTTTGTGTCTGGCTCCTCTCACTGAGCATCGTGTCTGCAAGGTCCATCGTGTTTGTATTTCACTGCTGAAGGGTACTCCGTGGTTTGGATGGATCGCATTGTGTTTTTCCAGCCATCCGCTGATGGACGTCTAGGTTGTTTCCATATTATGGTTTTATGAGCTCGTGCGGGTGAATGTTTTTGTTTCTCACGGACAGTTACCCAGGGGTGGGACTGCCAGGTCGCCGGGGCCTCTGCGTACCCTTCCGAGGAGCTGCTGGGGTGTTTTCCGCAGCAGCTGCACTGTGTTATTTTCTCACCGGCAGTGCACGAGGGTTCCAGTGTCTCCACATCCTTGACAACACTCGTTAATGTCCATTTTTTTTATTAGTAGTAAAGCCATCCTATTAGGTGTGAAGTGACATTCCACTGTGGTTTTCATTTCCAAAGTGGTTACGTGAGCCTCTGGGGTGTCCTGAATGTTACTGTGGGGGCTTCGTCATAGCCCAGCTCTGCTCTGGTTTGGGGCATAGACCCAGATAGGACTTTGGGCCCAGCTCTCACCAGTCGTGAGGTCCTGGACAAGTCCCAGCTGCCTGTCTCCTGGGCAAAAATGGGCACAGGGCTGAGAGGCAAAGGAGATGCCTGTGCTAAGCAGAAGGTCCTCCCCATGGCCACTCGGCCCAGCCTGGTCCAGCCCCTGGGGAGTCAGGACCCACCCCACTGGACGTTGGTTGCTTAGCAATGGGAAGGTGATCCATTTCCCTGGCAGCCAAGGGCTCAGATTCCTGTCTTGGGGCAGTGGCCAGTGGGAATGCTCAGCTTGACTCTGTATCACTGGGGCACACCTACCCTTGGGCCTCCAGCCCAAAGTCACTTGGAGGCCTTGAAGTGTGGACGCCCCTCCCTGGGAGTTTGGAAACTGAAAGTTGAGAGCGTTTTCCAGCTGGTCAGAAGCCAGGAATCGGAGCCCTGACCCTTGGCCTGGGAGGAGACAAGTCCTTCAGCTTGTGGGCCCCTTCCTCCTCTGGGGGGCCGTGGGCAGCAGGGAAACTGTGCTTCTGGGAGCTTCGGACTGTGCCCCAGGGCTGGCGTCACATGGGGCGGGGACGCCTCTCGGTGCTGAAATCTCGTCCTCAGAGAGGGCAGCACAGTTCAGGAAGTGACAGCCAGACAGACATAGAGCAGGAAAGTCGGAGAGTTTGGGAAAATGCATTTAACAAGACCGAGGGGGATGGGGGGAAGGGTTAACTTCAGGCATGAAACTCCGCCCAAGGTGAATGCGTGTTCTCCTGAAACATGGGTAGAGCATTTGCAGAAAATGGCCGTGCTCTGAGCTGCAAAGGTAGCCACAAGGGGCAGTTGCATTTACGCTCCGTGTCCCCAGACCATAGCCCCTCTCCCCCCAAATTTAAAATCATCCTTCTAAATAAATCTCAGTTTAGAGAAGCATTCAATCAAAATGGAAATTATAAACTATTTAAACTTGAAAGAGCACAAGGTAATCTAATCCATCCGCTGCAGCCAAAGCCAAACTCAGAGAAAGTGTATGTAGCCTTTGGAGCATTTACAAGAAAACCAGAAAGACTGGGTGAATGAGCTGACTTTAACTCAGGATCCACCGCGGAAACCGGAGGAAGGGAGAAACTGGGAGCCCTGCAGCCCCTCAGGGCGGGGGAGGGGGGTGGGGAAGGGGGGGAGCTGAGTCTGCTTGGCCAGCTGTGGCCTCGAGCTAATTACTTCCTTTCTCAGAACTTCTGTTTCCACCATCTTTTCAACAGAAAAAAGAAACAAAAATCAAAAAACAACTACTTTGCAAGATACAAATACTTCAAAGTGCAAGGCAATAACCTCCCAGTTCATTGAATTCCAGTCTTTGTTCACCACACGTGCTTTCGTGCCGTGAATTTTCCCCGCACACCTGTTTGGCTGTGGCCCTGATCCCAACAGGGAGGTCAGGTCGCCCATCCAGTTTGGTTCATGATTTTCCTTTTAGCCTGGAGGGCGGCTTGCGGACCTGCCAGGCCTTCCCTCCAGCCTCACTCTCTCTTCCTCTCTCCACCCTACCAGTGGTCCACGCCGTGGACGGCACTGCGATGAATGGGATCCAGCCACTGAGCTCCTCGGAGGTGGATGAACTCATCCATAAGGCAGACGAGGTGACGCTGAGTGAGGCAGCACCCGTGGCTGGGGCAGTGGAGACCAGGGGGACGTCCGAGGAAGCTGCGCAGACCACCACACCCTCCAGACGGGAGATCACCGGGGTGCAGGCGCAGCCGGGTGAGGCCACGTCTGGCCCACCGGGCATCCAGCCCGGCCAGGAGCCCCCCGTCACCATGATCTTCATGGGGTACCAGAATGTGGAGGACGAGGCGGAGACCCAGAAGGTGCTGGGGCTGCAGGACACCATCACCGCGGAGCTGGTGGTCATAGAGGATGAAGCGGGGCCCAAGGAGGCCGCCCCACCCAACGGCAGTGTGGCGGAGCCCCCTGCCCCTGCAGGCTCCAGGGAAGAGAACCAGGTGGGGTCCGAGGCCCCTGCCAGCGACGCCCAGGACCTTGACGTGAAGAAGCAGCGCTGTAAATGCTGCTCCATCATGTGAGCCGCAGGCCCCAGACCCTGGCCCCGCCCTCCACACCAAACACCCACAGCCCGGCGGTGCCTGCCCGCCCTCCACCCACAGTCACAGGCCCCAGGACGTGCCGTGTTGTCACATCTTCCTCCTGAGTTTTCTTTCACTGGAAAGAGAGGGACAGGGGTCCCGCGCCCATCACCACCCTGACGTGCCCTAAACTGCTGAGCCGTGCACCTGTACCTGGTAGGGCAGAGACACGGACAGACCCACTTTTCCCAAAACATGAGGATCCCCCACATGTCACGGCAGCTCCACAGACGGGCTTTCACCCACAGGGTTCCTGGCTGGTGGGACCCGGGCCTCCGTGCAGCCCCAGGCAAGCCCACCACCCTCTGGGCCTCCTGCCCATGCCTTCGTGCCACCTCCAAGGAGGTCTCCAAGGGGACATCCTGCTGGAGAGGGACTAGGGAGCTGGGAGGTCCCAGGGGCCTTTTCTGTCCCCACTCAACCCCTGGAAGTGGGGTTCCCCAGCCAAGGCACCGGTGTTGGGCTCTTGGGCAGCTGGGGTGAGGCCGCACCTCCTTGGGCAGCCTCATTCAGGAACCAGGCTCCAGTTCTTAGAACGGAGCAGGGCCCCTCTGGACACCCCAGCCTTCTGTGTCCTTCCCTTTATGCTCTCTGCGGGCATGGCCAGTGGATGATGGAGCCTAGGAAGGGGGAGCCCAGAGGACACCCCCTCCACTTAGGGGAGTCCGTGACGCCTGTGCTGTCCTCTGGAGGGGGCAGGCGAGGGTCTCTGAGTTGCCCCCTGCACAGAGCGGGGCTGTGCGAGCCACTTCTCGTCTTGAGCTCCCACCCTCACTGGGCCTTCCTTCCTCCTGGTGCTAATTTGGGGACCCTGGAGGGCCGCCCAGGCCATTCTCCAGGCTACTTGGGCCAGGGTCCTGGGTCTCCCCAGCCATACCCCAGAGATCAGGCCCACTGCCAGCTCTGCTGGGCTTGGCACATTCTGGGCAGAGGGAGGGCACACGGCCTGGGGCAGGGAGCTTTCCCCTGGGCTGCAGCAGGAGGCCCCCAGTGGCTACCCAGACCCACATGAGCCTCACCCCTCTTGCTAGAAGGGGTGAGGGGTGAGGGACTCTCATCCTGTGGGCAGCTGACACCCAGATGTGCACTCACATCTCCCAGGTTGCAGCCACACTAGTCCTCAGAGGCACATTCATGCCCATGCTCACAGACCCTCTCCTGTATGGGCTGTAGGATGACCAGGCCCCATCTTGGGCCTCTCTCCTGGGGGCCCCCCGGCCTTGTGCCCAGACTGAGGCCACCCTTTGCCTCAGCAGAGCCATGCAGGGATCGCCTGAAACCAGCCTGGCCTGTCTCAGCTCTGCCCCTCAATGGCGGGAGAAGAGTCCCTCTCTGAGGTGGTTCCCGGCAGTGGCATGGACCCCCTCCCTCCTCGAGCTGCCAAGTCCTCGAGTTGAGAGCCTCCGCTGAAGTGCCCTTGCTGCCCCCTCTGCTTTTGATGTGTGACAGGCCCGTGTAATTGACTTTCCCAGAGAAGCAAATAAACCCTGTGAACGCCCTGTGCCCTGGAGTTCTTGGATTTCGGGGGCGGGAGGTGGGGTGTGGGGCGTGGGGTGTGGCCAGCCAGGGGGTGGGGCCCAACGAAGTGTACAAAAAGGGAGGCTGTGTGGGGCCCCTGCATTTGTCCAGCTCAACCAGTGCGGTGGTGGAGACATCAGTGGAGGCCACACCTGCACCTGAGCAAATTCAGGCAGCACCTGGTCAGGTAAGACCTGGAGGGAACAGGGCCACGGCATGTGCAAGACTCGCTTTCTGGTTCCTGCGGAGCCCTCTGTTCCATACGCACCCTGCCCCTCTGCTGTCTTTTGGCTGCGAGGCTGCTCCTTGCTGGGCTCACAGCTCCCCAGGAAATCTAAAAGACCCCACAGATACCCCCAAGTTCTGCTGGGAACCACTCTGGAAAATAGATGGGGCCGCAAAGGAGGAAGCATTTATGGGGGTTGCAACCCTGTTCTGTCTCACTGTGACTGCCCCCCTTGGGGCTCAGTTTGCCCATCTGTTCAATGGGCTTTGGACCCTGAATGGGAGGCTACCCCATCTGGGAGCAGAACATCGGGGTCCCTGGCTCCACAGTGCCCTAGCCCACAGGGTGATGCAGTCTCCGCCTTTAGGGGCCTCAGTTTCTCCCTATGTCAATAGGGTGGTAAGTATGGTAGGCTCAGGTGCAAATCCCAGCCCCGTCACGAATGCTGTCTGCCCTTAGGACTTGAAACTTGTACCTCAGTTTCCATGTCTGCAAAACAGATCAAAGGACCCACAGAGGTGTGGGGGAGGCAGCGAGGCTGCCTTCCCGGGTTCTGACGGAACTGGCCCATGGTGCATGCTCAAGCTGCCATTTGGGGCTGGGCCCTTTACCTGGACCTGTCTCAAACCCTCCATTCCAGGCTGCCCTGCCAGGTTTGGGGCTTGGGGCCCATTCAGTGGAAGAAGAGACTGAGGGTCAGAGGATCCCTGCAGCTAGCCAAGGGTCAGGACAGAAGCCTAGCCTAACCCACTATGCCCCTTCCCCCATAGACTGGCCACTGGTCCCAGTTGCCTGACTTCCCTGTAAACACTGGGCTCCTGCAGCCCTGGCCGTTCTCCATGCCTCAACCAAGAATCGGGAGGGACAGCTGAGCACCTGGGAGGACGCGCAGCCCAGTGAGAACTTCGGTGCCCCCCAACACCCTCTGGCACTTTCCATGTGCTCAGTCGGCTGTTTATGGCCAAAGGCCTGGGGAGCTCTCCCAGGTGTGTGATGGCCCCATTGCACCGGAAGGAAGTGGAGGCTCACAGAGGTCCCAGGGATTGGAACCCAGATTCACTGAATCCCCAGGACAGGCAAGCTGGGCTTGTCTCAGAAAAGGGCTGAGAGGGAGTAGCCCCAAGGGTGGGTGGAGCCAGGTGGCACCACTCAGGTGGGGAACTTAGACCCCCACAACCCAGAAACGGACAGCTGGTTCCCAAACCAGCTGTGTGAGCCCGGGCAAGGGATGTCCCTTCTCTGAGTGGCACTGAAGGGTGGCGGGAAAGCCAGGTGGCAGCTAAGGGGAGGTTTCGGAGGAGCTGCAGCTCCCGGGGGCAGCGTGCTGTGGGCACAGTGCCTGCCCTCCACCCCGCCTGGGTGTCGGCTTTCTTTCTCCTTCTCAGGACTTTGTTTCCTTAACCCCGGGTGGGGCCGAGGAGGAGGGGTACCCCTGCCTCCCCTGGGTGGGGCCCTGTCCCCTGGCAACCCATGGGCAGGGCAGTGCCGCCAGAGTGGAGCCGAGGCTTCACGGCTACTAGGGGCCAGGAGCTGGCAGGTGAGGTGGGGGCGTGCGGGAGCAGGACACGCACGAAGCTATGGGGGGTGGGGTCTTGCACGGGGTGGGGTCTGTTTTGGGCCTGGGGGTTCGTGCGTCAGTTGGCATCAGCCGCTCACCAGGGGGTCCCTGGGTGGCAGCGAGGGAAACACCCGTCCTCAGCCTGTGCCCACCAGGACCCGGTTGGGGTGTCGGGCTGGTGGGGGTCTCCCGCTGCTCTGCACACCCATCGCTCTGAGGCCCGAGGTGTGTGTCCTTCCCACCCTCCCCACCCCCTGCCCCGGGAGCACAGGCACCATCCCTGAACCTTGCCAGGGCCTCAGTCTCCACCCTGGGCTTCTGGCCCCAAATCTAAGAACTTTGAGCCCTGGCCCTCCAAGGGAGGGACCTGATTGGCACCACGGCCAGAAGCCAGAGAGCGGCCCCCCAACCCCGACCTCGCCCATGAATTCTGGGAATTCTCAAGGTTGCTGGGGAGGCACTTAGCACCAGCCACAGCCTTGCTTGGGAAGCAGCATACGATACCCCCACGGGGCCCAGAGCTTGGTGGGGGCACTCGGGAGGAGGGCGGGGGTGGGGCAGTCAGCGTGTCCGTGTCAGCCTAGAGGCTCTGTCCAGGGGGAGACAGAGACTCAGTCCAATGTCCAGGTATCCCAGAGGGGCAGGGGCTCTGCCCAGCCAGGGGCCTGGCGAATTGCAGCCCTAAGTGACCATAGAGGAGCCCCTGAGCCCGTCCCTGCTGCCGCGTGATCTTCCCTGTCTGAGCCTCGGCCACTCCAACAGGCCTTTGCCCTGAGGGTGGAAGGCCAGTTTCGGTGTGAGGAAGCAGATGTGTGGCACCAGGGGCCATTAACCTGGTTTCAGTTTTGTATTGACATGGATATGGGGTGGGGCTGGGAAGGAGCAATGGGGGGGGGCTTCCTGGAGGAGGTGGCAACTAACTGGGAGTGAGGATTTGAGCTTCAAGGACACTCTTGTGTGACTCTCAGGTGAGCAATTTCCTCTCTCTGGGCCTTGGTTCCCTCTGCTGTAAATTGGAGACTCACAGGATCTTGTGAGGAGCAAGTAAGATAAAGGTTGAATTGAGACTTGCCCAAGGCCACAGGTGAAAGGGGCCCTGGGACTCTGAACCCAAGACCCAGCCTGAGTCCCATGCCTTGTTGTCCTCAGTGAATCACCTGGGAGGAATGAGCCAAGGCGGAAGTGGTGCCCCCCACCTTTGCCCCACCTGGCAGGGAGACCCAACACCCCCTGGGCAGGCAGGTCCTTTTTTCAGGAGTTAATATCCCCTGCAGGTTATAAATCCTGATGAGTGAACATCCAGCTACTCATTCAGCAAACACTCCTGCGTCACCCCTGCCACACCTGCGCTCTCCAGGGAGCCCCAATGCATGGGGACAGAGCTGACGCACGGTCCGGAGGCAGGCCACGGAGGGACAGCCAGGCCTGCAGATGAAATAGCCCAGCCCCAGGTCCTGAGCACTGGGCTGAGCAGTGTTTGCAGAGACCGCACCCTATTCAGCCCGCCTTTGTCAAATCCCTGCAGAAAACCAGGCTCAGGGCTGCGGTGGGGGTGCTCGCCTGGGGCCCCTGGGGGAAAGGGTCCTGGGCTGATGGCTTCAGGTGGGAGAAGACAGGCCTTAGATGCGTTTATTCCCCTTTCCAAGACATGTCCACCTCCCCCAATAACTTTAAAGGAGGAAAATCTCTGTGGGGGGGGGGGGTTACTTGGCCATTGGGACAGTGGCTCAGCCTGGTGGCCTGGGATTTACTATCCAAGCCACTGGTTTTAAATATTGTTTTAATAATTATAGTTTCAACTTTGATATACACAAAAGCGGGTGTAACACACAACCTATTAGCTGTAACATTGTTCCCAGGATCGACTTCATGTTGCTTGATGACACTTCCCCAATTCAGCGACACACTGTATTTTCCTTTTTAGAACTACATTTACCTTTTACAGCCAAGGTGGTGTGAAAAGGTAGCAAATGTATATACAGCAGCTCTGGCGGAACCGGAGTCCAAGGCCGGGGCAAGGCTGCCGGAGGAGTTGGGACCAGTCTGTCTCCCTTTCCTTAGCTGCGGAAATGGTGACACCTAGCACGAGGGTGCTGAGCAGGGCACACAGGAGGTGCCGAGATGATGGGCTCCAACAATGGAGGCAATCTGGGGGGCTTCCTGGAGAAGCTGTCCTGTGGGCTGCAGCTAAGGAGGGTTTGGAGGTGCAGAAACGAGGGACCTCCAGGCAAAGGGTTGGAGGTGCCTACAGAGTTTCGGGGTTTGTGCTGAGATCAGATGGAGGCGGCCTTGAGGGCCTGGGGAAGGCGGTGAGAACCGAACTCTGGAGATGCCAGCAGCCACAGAGGTGTGACACCAGGGATGTGACCTTCTAGAAAGTTCCTGGAGTAATGCTCAGCAGGAACCTGGACATTTATGGGAGATCAGGGAGCTGGGCCTCCCTGGGGCACTGGGTCAGGGTGGCCCCCAGCCCAGGGGGACGAGGTCCAAGGTGCTCCTTAGCCTATCGTGGCTTTAGGGGCCGAGGCAGATGGTTTGTTTGGGATGGGACAAGGGGTCCCGCTGGGCAGGTGCAGGAGACAGAACCGGGATGTGGGACCTGGAAAGCTGGAGCCTGCCAGTTGCCGCCCCTCTCTGGGCCTCAGTTTTTCCACTGGACATCCCTCAGCGATGGGCAAGCCTCCTGGAAGCATCTGTCAATGTCAGATGAAAGCAGTCACAGAAGGCATTTCAGAGTGTGTATGTCCCTGGACAGAGGCAGACACCTGTGCTGCTGGGGGCCCAGGGAGACTGCCCAGGGGTGGCTTCGGGTCCAGACATGGGGAAATGAGTGGAAGAGGGGAGGAGCAGGGTTAGGGTAGCTGGGGACCCCCAAGGCAGGGTGTGCAGTGTCTGGAAGATGGTGGCAGGGGTGCTTGCAAAGGTCAGACACCTATAGGGTGAGTTGTTGGGTTAGTACAGGTGCGAGATTAAGGTGTGGCTGGATCCAGGAGTTCAAACAACTTTTTTAGGATGTTGTGTTGGGCTTGCTGTAGAGCAGACTGTGTCCACAAGGGGGCATGTGTGGCCCCTAGGCATTTCTCAGTTTTGCCCCACCAACCTCACAAGCCTAATGGGAAGAGGGTACAGTTTCCACATTCATTGACGTGTCCCAGGATTTCATGTCATTGACCAGGTTGAGTCATATGTCCATCCTGGAACCAATCACAGGGGCCAGGGGACGGAAGACTCTGATTGGCCATGCTGGGTCACTTATCCATCCCTGAACCAATCACAGAGGCCACTTGGGCAGGACTTTGCCCTTTGAAAAAAAGGACATGGTGCCTCTCCTCGACTGCTCTGACCTGGTGGCCGTCATTCCTCTCGTCCTCAGGGAGCTGAGAGCATCTCCACGCTTGGAACCTCTGCTGGGCCAAAACCCCCAGAACATGGACCGAGTGACCAGATACCCCATCTTCAGCATCCCTCACTCACCAGGCAAGGCCGGCCTGGCCCTCAGTGGGAACACCGGCCACACATTCCAGCTGGTGGATGTGGAGCCCTCGGGCAGCAGCTGGGGCCAGGACAAGCCTATAGTGCACACAGCTAATCACAAGCCCCAGCCAGATGTGCTGAGGACAGGGGCACCTTGCAGCCTGTGTGGCTTCCCCAGCCAGCAGTACCTGCAGCCGGAGGATGATGAGGATGAGGTGAAGGCCTGCCACCTGGACACAAGAGGTGCCCTGCCCAGGCAGCCCCTGGACCTGGAGCAGGAGCGCTGGGCAGTCATTCAGGGCCAAGCAGTGAGGAAAAGTGGCACAGTGGCCACACTTCACGGCACCCCTGACCACGGGGGCCCTGGGACCCCTAGACAGTCTCAGTTCACGGCCCTGGAGGACAATGTGATTGACAGGGAGCAGATCAACTTCCTGGCAGCAAGGCAGCAGTTCCTGAGCCTGGAGCAGGCAAATGCGGGGGTCCCTCAGAGTCCTCAAGCCAGGGTGGGCCCAACATGCACCCCACCCAGGGTCAGCCAGACTCCCAAGAGCTTAAACCAGCCGCCCCTCTCCAATGGGTATGTTGTCTCAGTGAAGCGCCAGGTGAAGGTGGTCATACAAGAGAAGAGGGCCCATGGTTTGTCCACTGGGTCTGGTGTCCAAGCTACAGACAGCCCTGGCTTCCAGTCCCAAGCAGAATCACTGGAGGCTCCCAAGGAGACACCCATTGAGCGGGAGATCCGGCTGGCCCAGGAGCGTGAGGAAGCTCTGCGTGAGGAGAGGGGGCTGCGGCGGGCGGTGAGCCACCAGGAGCTGGTGGAGATACCCACCCGGCCTCTGCTTACCCAGGTGAGCCTGACCACGGCCCCGCGGCGGGAGAGGGGGCGCCCATCACTCTATGTGCTGCGTGATATGGTACAGGAGACACAGCGTGAAGAGGACTACCGGAGGGAGGGCCTGCAGACGGGCTGGGTGTCCGTGCCCACCGGGATCTCCGAGGATGCCCAGCCTGCACTTCGGAGAGCAGTTAGCTCAGACTCTGTTCTCAGCCAGGCCACAGACGCCAGCGCGGCCAACCCTGCTCCAGAGCTGAGGAGGGTGAACCGCATTCCACCTGACGCCTACCAGCCTTACTTGAGCTCTGGGCCCCCCCAGCAGAATTTCTCAGCTTTCCATGCTTATGGCAAGCCTAGTGGTCTCTCTGCAGATGCAGCCAAGGTGGTGGCCTCACCAAAGGCCACAGGGTCTCAGAGGCATCTCTTGGAATCCTCTGGAAAACCCTCAGGCACAAAGCAGGAGTTCTGGAAGCCCCCCAGGGGACCCTCATCAGCCAATGGGGGTGTCGTGCGATGGGAGTACTTTCGCCTGCGTCCCCTGAGGTTCAGCATTCCGGATGTTTCCCAGAAGGCTGAGGTCCCCAGAACCTGGGGCTGGGAAGTGGCTGGGGCCCCGGCGTTGAGGCTGCAAAGGTCCCGGTCCTCTGAGCTGCTGAAGAAGGAGGTGGAGAACGTCCTGAAGCATGAGCAAGAAGTGGAGGAGGAGCGACGCAATGCTCTCTTCCCAGAGGTCTTCGAGCAGCCAGGCTGTGACAGGGACTCCTGGAGCTCCTCCCAGACATCAGGTGAGCAGGTGTCCTGGGGAATGGCTGCTCGGATCCGGGTCTCAAACGTTAGAGCAAAGGAGGGTGGGGAAGTGGAATTTGGGGGTGTCAGGAGGGTCTGAGGGTGGAGGGACATCTGGGGGACTCTGTCCATTCCCCCATTTTGCTGGTCTGTCTGCCTGTATGCTTTCTTAAGCTATAGATTTTGGAGAGAGATGTCAACTTTGCCCCTGGGTTTTTGCTTTATGGTTTTTGAATGCTTTATTATTAGACACATAGTTTATAGATATTGTAACTTTTTAGTCCATTGCTCCTCTTTGTCAATATTAACTATCTCCTGAGTCACTTTCTTTAAAAAAAAAAAAAGATTTTATTTATTTATTTTTAGAGAGGGGGGAAGGGAGGGAGAAAGACAGGGAGAGAAACATCAGTGTGTGGTTGCCTCACGCGTCCCCCCCTACTGGGGACCTGGCCTGAAACCCAAGCATGTGCCCTGACTGGGAATTGAACCAGCGAGCCTTTGGTTCGCAGGCCAGCACTCAATCCACCGAGCCACACCAGCCAGGGCTCCTGTGTCACTTTCATGTTTCCACCCTGCCCGGCTGGCCCACCCGTCAATCCAGTCCCTCCCGACTGGCTGTTTTGGTCACGGTATCAGCTTTGCTGACAAGCTGTCTGCTTTGTATGTCTGTCCATTCACCTGTCTTCTTAACTGGTCCACACGCTTGGCCAGACATTCTGCGTGTCTCCTGAGCCGTGTGCTAAGAGGCGTCCCACCCCCGGGGCCCCACTGCGGCGCCCTCCCTGGTGCTCCTTCCTCCCTCCTCCCACACAGGCATCCAGGGCAGCTACTCCGTGTCTGAGTCGCACTTCTTCACCCCCGCCCACCTGCACTCGGGCCTGGTGTGGAAGGCAGAGGCCCCTGCCGAGGCTGCTCCTGGGCAGAGGAAGAAGGAGGAGCAGTGGGTGAGTACAGAACTCCGCCCATCCCCTCAGAGGCCTGGCTGAGATCTGACACCCCCCACCCCCAATTAGGGCCCCATGAGGGTGGAGCGGGACTTGCCAAGGGTCACGTGGCCTGTGAATTCCTGAGCTGGGACCTGACCCCAGCCTGGGTGCACACCCCACATTTGCGACCACGAGGCCATCTCCTCCCTGAGGGGGGTATTAAGGACACCATGGACAATAACACCAAGCCTGGCCTCACAGGCTGGGGCCTAGAGTAAAGCCCAGTGACCCAAGTTCAAGTCCCAGCCCTGCCACATGCCGGCTCTGTGATACTAGGCAAGTTTCTGCCCCTCTCTGACCCTCAGTCTCTTCCTCTGTGGAATGAGCACGATAGTAAGAGCAGCCACCTCCAAGCCTCACAATGGGGCTTGGCCATGGGAAGAGCTCCATGAATGCCAACGGTCTTTACGATGCTGAAGCTGACAAAGAGAAATAATAATTGCAAATGACAGACTGGGCTGCACTGAGGGGACAGCAAGGTGGATGACTGAGCGGGATGATCGAGGGGCACTCAGGAAGGTCATGGTGGCCATGAAACACCTTTCCTCCTGCCTCACTGGTGACTGAGTGGGCTGTGCACCGGATTGCAGGTGGGCTCTGGGGCGGGGCAGCCAGGCCCAGGGGCTGACGAGTGTTCCTTTCCTGTAGTATGCTGGCATCAAGCCCTTGGACCACGTCAACTCGGAGGTGAGTGTGTGCGCCTGGCTTTTTCCTTCCCTGTCTGTGCCCCCTGCCCCATGGCACCAGGGCCATCAAAAGCCTTTCTTCTGGGTGTGAGAACTTCACTGGGTAGCTTCTCGGTTAATAGTGTCTTCCTGCGCTGGATTTTGCTCTGATCTACTTGTGATGCCTGCCACGGGTACAGATTGTATGCAGTGGGTGCACTTGCAGCTTTGTCAAATAACAAAGGTTTTGGAGCAAAATGGGCCCAAGGCAAGGGCATTTTCTTTGAGGGAGAGGTTTCTGAGAGTATGGAGAAGGGCAGCTACCTCCGTGGATTTGTGGAATACATTTGGGGCCATCTTTGAGCTGAGCCCAAAATGCCAGCCCCAGGCATTTTTGCTGCTGGGGAACTCGGCACAAGTTAGCACAACCCTTGGTGCTATTACTAGGGGTAGAAGATCTGAAACGGAGGAGGGGATGTCCCTGCTTTACCCTTGTTCGAAGCCTCTCCTATGAGTTGGTAGCAGGAGAGGCGTCTGGGGTGGGGGTCAGCACCACCATGGGGACTCTCTGCCTCCTCTCGCAGGTCCTAGAAGCCACACGGGTGATGCGCCACAAGAACGCCAAGGCTGAACTCTGGGAAGCCGGTATCTACGCCAGTGAGGATGAGGACTGAGCCTGGAGACAGGGGATACCCTGACCCTGTGGGAACTGCCAAGACCATCACCGAGCCACCCCCCCCCTCTAGGAAACAGGTCCCCATTTAAATCCACAATCCGAGAACCACAAACAACATGCTGACAACCCTGAGGGTGGCTGTGCCTTCGGACTTGAAGGCTTTCTGCTTTTATTTTTCTAGAGAAATTGTTCTGCTTTTTCTGGGTCTAAAGCTGGGGCTAAAACGGGACCTCTATGAATTCTTTCTGTTTCTAGGACTTTGTCAAATACTCTTCTGCCCAAGGAGGAAGGAGACTAGCTCCCCCTCCCCCACTCCGGTTGCCGTTCCCACTAGTCTGAGGGTAGAGAGGCTGGTTGAGGAAGGCATGGGTCCTGGCACCTTGAGAGGCCGCAGGTCTGAGGAAGAGACACTGGCCCCGCCCCAAGGCCCTGTCTGCGAAGGGGGACATGCCCGCCCCAGCCCTGGGAAACCTTCCAGTCTGAGGAAGGAAACCTGAGCGCCCCATCTGAAGGCCTTTGGGCGGCCAAGGAGTCTCCTCCATGGTGCACCAGCAAAGCCCTGCCTGGCGTGATGGGGTCCCGTGGGGACAGCATCTGACCTGGCGGAGAAAAGGGCTTGATTTGTGAGCTGAAGGGGGTCCTTCTCCTGCCCCCTCAACCTGCTTGTTCACATCCACCATGAAATAAACCCTCCCCCCCTCCTGGTTCATTTCTCTTGGTGACACTCACTGTGCTCCTGAGGGGCCTTCGCCCCATCCTCCCATAGGCTACAGGCCCCACGACAGGCTGTCAGGGTCACCCTCAGCATTCCCAGCATGCGGCATGCAGTAGGCGCTCAATCAGTGCTTGTGGAGTGACCGTCTTCAGTCCCACCAGGCCCAGTCTTCCCATGTCGCCTCGTCCCACTGAGCCGGGTGCACTCTCAGTGTGGGTTAAGGACAAGCACCGTGTGTCTCCACGCAGAGGGGGGTCCTGCGAGGAGCCAGGCTCACCGAGACGGGAAGTAGGTTGCGCAGCCAGGGGCTGGGGGAGGGGGGTCAGAGCATCAGTTTGGGAAGATGAGAAAGTTCTGCAGACGGCTGGTGGGGACGGCTGCACGACAGTGTGGACACGCATGCTTAACGCTGCCGAGCTGCGCACCCCAAAATGGTCAAGGTGGTAAATGCTACATTCTGTGCATCTTAACACGATAAAAATGGGGGAGCACTGGCTCTCTCAGAGGAATAGGAAGGCCCTCAGGACAATCAGATGAAGCTCAAAAAACACTGGAAGTGCCCTAAAAATGCAACATCATCTTTGAAATCTTAACTCATCCCGACTGGCATGTCCTGATGAGTCCAGAAGTGTGAACATGGGAAATGCCTTGTTTTTAAGACTTACCTCGCATTTGAATTCTTTTAACGAGGCGGCCCCCTTAGAAAGCCAAGATAGTATTCTCTTCACCTGCCAAGCCGACTGCAGGGGAGGTGTTTGGTGAGTGGTTGAAATAAATTCTTAGAGAAATCCCCAAAGGGGGGCCGGGTTGTCTGGAAAGGGGGGTGGGGGGCTCTCAGGGCCGGCTGTCGGCCAGTGGGCGGCCCTTCTCAGATCTTCCGCTCTGTGGGTCCCTGGCCGCCCCTCATTCTCCCCCTGCGAGGGGCGGCTACTTTTCCCTGGTTCTCCCCCGGCTCAGTGCATTATGATCGGAGAAGGGAAGAGAGTCTCCCTCAGGCCATTAGAAAGACTGAAACACAAACCCGACTTACCGTCTAAAACGCCAGAGTCCTGCCTCCCTCCCCCGGCTGCTTCTCAGCACTTCTCGCAGCACTCACTCCCACCCTGCCCCCCTGTCTAACGGACTCCCGCAGGATGGCGGGGTCCTCAGGAGGCCACGCCAGTGTGGTCAGCCTTGACTCTCAGGGGAACCCCTCCCCGCATGCAGAGTCCGGGATGCCACTGGCTGGGGGGGTGGCAGGGTTGTGAGCTAAAACCCGGGACACCCAGGTCCATGTGAACTTCAGGCCAACCACAAGTGGCTTTTTTAGTATAAGCATGTCCCATGCAATATTTGGGACATATATACGCTTTAAAAACTCATTCCTTGTTTACCTCAAGTTCAAATGCAACTGGTCATCCTGTTTTCTTTTCTTCTTTTAAAAAATCTCACCTAATGATATGTTTACTGATTTCAGAGAGGGGGGACGGAGGGGAAAGAGAGTGTGCACACGCACACAGGGTGACCCTCTAACCCATGGAGCCACCTGCCGGGGCCGTCCTCTGTTTTCAGTGACTAAATCTGGCTGCCCCTGATGAGGCGGCTACCAGGCTGGCCAGCTCTCCCCTCGAGGGACTTGTAGGCGTCCAGGAGCAGCAGGACAGTCAGGTCTCGAAACACAAGCACTTCAAGTGCACACATCACATGCGCTGCAGCTCCGCCGGCCACCTGAGGCACCTGCCCAGCGCTGAGACAGGATAAGAGGGCTGCACAGGAGCATGGGAGGCCTGAGCCGGCAGGACTGATCCTGGAGTAACCTACCAGACCGTGGGAACTTAAAAGACCCTTACCCTCCCTGTGCCTCAGTTTCCTCTTTTGTAGCACGGGATATCCAGGGTCACATATCACCTCACTGACAGAGTACTAAGCACTTGGTTGGTACACAGTGAATGGCAAGTTAGCACTGGTTCTGATTAACCATCGTGTGACAGTCTGATTCTGTTCTGTTGTCCTGCCAGGTTGAGTGCCTGATGGCTGGGGGGATGGGGTGTCTGTCTCGTCCCTGTCATGTACACAGTGCCTAGACCAGCGCCTGGCAAACCATAGGTGCTGAATAAATGTCACAGTCTCTCATCAGTTACTAAGTGTCTGGTGCTGTTCAAATCCCTGGAACCCACTGTGACTAAGGAGCACGGTGTCCACACCACGGAGCTCACAGGGATTAAACAACGACACGGCCCTGACCGCTGTGGTTCAGTTGGTTGGGTGTCGTCTCACAAAGCACAAGGTTCGATTCCTGGTCAGGGCACATGCCTGGGGTGCAGGTCTGGTCCCCAGTCGGGGTGCAAACAAGTGGAAACTGATCAGTGCTTCTCTCTTACCTCAATATTTCTCTCCCTCTCTTTCTCCTTCCTTCCCCTCTCTCTAAAAAATTAATTAAATATTTTTAAATAAATAAATAAATAATGACACTTAAATGTGTCAGGCAAAGGCTGGTGACACACACAAGGCAATGAAAACTGTAAGTAAGAACAGAATGTAGCAAGGGACAAGGCAGCTTTCTGAGCCAGGGTGGTAAGGGAGACCTCTCGGAAGAGACGACCTTGGAGAGAGGCCAGAATTAGGTGAAAGAAAGAGCCAGAGCAACGTAACCAGGAAGCGGGCACAGCACACGCTCAGGCCGTGAGGCTGGACTGAGCTTGGTGTGTTGGGGGAATAGCAGGGAAAACTGTGTGGTTGGAGTGGAATGAGTGAGGGGGAAAAAGGAGAGATGAAGGCAAAGAGATGATGGAGGAGACAGGGCCTGCAAGGTCTCGTGAGTACAGCAGGACTTGTGCTTTTACTCTGAGGGACCTGGGAGCCAAGGAGGGCAGTGGGTAGAGCATACTAGATGCTCACATATGTCCTTTGGTGGCTTTGGGGAGGATAGACTGTAAAGGCCAGGGAGGAGCTGGATACAGGGACCTGGAGGTCATGGCGGAGCCCCTACTCTTTGCCATTGCAGGTGGATGAGGCACGTTTGTGGGAAAAAGGCAGGAAATAAATGGCCCCAAAGTCAGCCCCTCCTGGATACACGGTCCTTGGGCTCCCAGTTTTCTTGCTGCCTCCCCAGGTCCTTGCTACATGACCCCCCTCCATGAGCAGCTCACTCAGAGCTGTTTGCTGCTCCACAGATCTTTACAAAAGTCTTGCCTGATTAGGCCAGGCCCACCCAGCATAATCTCCCTTTGAATCAACTCAGAGTCAACTGATTTGGAAACACTAATTATACCTGAAAAAGCCCTCCACCTGCAAATAACGTCCAGCTCACACTCAAGGGCATTATACAGGGTCTGTATGCAGAAACAGGAATCTTGGGGTCACCTCAGAATTCTGGCCATTTTGGACCTAAAGTGGGGTTTAGGGCAAGGGCTCTGGTAGGATGAATTGGGTTAGAATCTCATCCCCAGGTCCTATTCTTCCGGTTGTATTAAGTTAACCAGCCATTTCCTCCTTCTGAACCTCATTTCTCTATCACTAAAGGGGAGGTGACCCCTTTGTCCACAGGACTGACAGGCTGATGAAATGGGGTGACTGAAAATTCCTTGCCCTCGAGGTCTCACACTGGAGGCTTTAGAAACACAGACTTCTCTTAGCCACCAGTGTTTTACCTTGTTTTCTTTAAAAGAATTTGCCAACAGTTAAAAAGCAGGAAGTTTCAAAAACCTAGATTTCTCTCTTTAGAAGTCCCCACTCTCTGGTCAGGCTGCACGGGTGTTAAGGAGCTTCACTGGGCTGGGCAGAGCAGCACCCACTCGTCAGACAGGCTCGGGGGCCCGAGGCCCCTCCCAACCTCCTGCAGACGGTCTCTGAGTGGATCTGAGTGACAGGAAGAGCACCTTACATTTTCCTTGCACAAGAGTAGCAAAGAAACTATAATTAAATAATAATGAGTTGATGGCCTTGTGAGAGCTGTTTCTTTAAAAATAAATCCTCCCTTGCCATCAGCCTCTCCAACTCCAGGTGTCTCCCCAGCGGGACCCAACATGGGGTAAAAACTGGGCCGGAGATCTGAGCCCATTTGCAGGGCCCCCGAACCCTGCTTTGCAAAGGCAGTTTCTGTCTTGGGTTAAACAGGGTTCCTGCAAACTCATATCCACCTGGAACTTCAGAGTATGATGTCACTTGGAGACAGGGCCTTTGTGGTCATGAGAATAGACTAAGTAGGTGGTCACAGTGGTTTTCTGTGGAGTGATGGGGTTGTCGTGCCCCCGACTGGGCTTCTTGGCTCACTGGTTCAGGCATCCACCATCACTGCCCATTTCTCTCCCAGCCTTACTAATCCCCAGGGGTGTTATGAGGGTTACCAGGCATCTGGCGCACAATTGGTGCTGAAGAAGTGTTGTTTCCCCGTTACTACTGACCCAGCAAATAAACCTATCCTTACCAGACAACCAGGGACCAAGACTGAGAGGAGCAACTGCATGCTGCCACCAGGGGGCAGCAAAACACCAGCAATGCGGCGACTGCTCCTACCAGGCAAAGAAGCCTGCCCACTGCCTTCCACAAGTTCCCATTCCTCTCCCTGGCAGAAGGTCCCCAGCGCCCCTGAGCACCCAGACTGGGGGAAACACAGCCCCAGAGCCCCTGCCCCACAAAATGCCCCTGGGCTCCTGGGGGCAATAAAGAGGGAGTGGCCGTGGACAAAGCCCATGGCGCTATGTTCCACAGAGGAAAATGCACACCCCCCCCCCGTACATTTTAATGCAATTAAGCACATTTTAATGGATTTATCCCCTAGAATATGATAGTACTTGAAAATCTGTGGAAAAATTTTAAAGTATGTATTAAAAGCATAAAAACTCATGGCACTATTTTTGATTTCAATGTACATTTTTGTATTTATACTCCAAACAGAACATATAATTTTCTTCCAGTCTAGCCCTTGCAAACTACTTTTCCTGCACTGGTTTCCTGCCTGGGACTTGCTGAGTGGGGGGGAGGGTGACAGCTTGTGGGCATGGAGCTTCCTTTGT